GCATTGACTCTATGAAATTTCAGTTTGTACTGATTTTGCTAGTGCTTTTTATGTAGCCTGTTGTAAAACTAGGTAAATATCTAGATGAGTTGATGTACCTCCTGGAAGATCTCTGTTTACACATACCCTGGCTGAGAACCAGTGTTCTGGGAAAGCCGTGGATTGGCTTTACACATCTTAGTGTTTTCTCTGTCAGTAACCACACCTCTCTCTGGTTAGCTGCAGGAGCTTGGTGACTTGTCACACCCCTCTTTAATTCAGACCTTCAGGCTCTTAAACCTGATGTTTCTTCCACAGTACAAGCTGCCTGCACAATTACAGCTTCCCCGTCCTTACTGCCACTTCCTGGCAAGCATAAGGGCAAGGTCCCTGCTCCAAGGAGTTTACAATGAGGTTAGATCGGACATGAGGAGGGAGAAATGACATCAGAGAAGAGGGGTGGGGAGTGGGGCTCGCACAAAACAAGGCTATGAGGAGATTGCCTCTTCTTGCAAGGTAAGAATCATGTTTGTGATTTATATGTAGGGAGAGTATTAAATAATAGACTGACACGGGAATGTGGGTCACTGCTGGTGAAGTTGTGGAAAGAGGGTTTTGAGGAGGCACTGCTTGAACTGTGCTCTGAACAGAATGTATTTTTGCAGGGGCTGTTATTAGCTATAGTAACTGCTTCAACTTGTGCGGTGGCATGGCTGCTGTGAGAATAGGTGCCGGCCACCTCTGAAGTGCCTCTGGTCTGTGGAAGGTGACTCTCTCAGCAGTAGGCTGGAGGGGGGGGCAGGGGAAGATGGACAGGTGGGTGGGTTCAGCAGCCAGTCTCCCACCAGTACAGCGCTCCTGTTATGTAAGTGAACTAATTGGGATTCATGTGCCTTGTCCAGTCTGGGGCTCTTGCTATGCCTCAAGCTTCCCTGCAGCCCCAAGAGAGGCAAGAACGTGGCAGCCTTTCTCCTTTTCGACTGATCTCTCCTGTATCTTTGTGACCTATTTCTGGGCTTATTTTTAGTTTTTAAGTGTGCTGGGCAGATCTCCAGGCTTTAGGGCCAGGAGGATCTGTGACTGCCTGTGTACCTGCTGTTGGTTTTGAATCTCCCGGAGGGGCAGAAGGTGCCTTGACTTAAGAGAAGGCAAACCTCGTAGAAAAGGGATGTATGTGGACCAAGCGGGGAGGGATGGCAGGCCTGGCTCTGATCACAGCCATATCAATAGGTGCCTTGAAAATGGTACTATGTGCACAGGGATGACCTCGAACTAAGACCTGCATAGTGTTTCTTACATGCATAAGAAGGTGCGGTCGCAGTCTCGGTCCCTGAGTGGCCCAGCTGATAGATACAAAGCAAGCGCTGCTGTTCTCCCATAGCGACTTGTCAAGTAGTTTCACTGATTCCAGCAAGAAACCACTGGAGAGGACCTTAAAATGGGCAGAAGCTGTGCAGACTCTGCCCCGCACTGCCAATACTGTTCTGTTTTGACCCAGCCAACCTTCACTAACCTCGTCCTGTGCCCCGCCTTGCAGGAGGAGACTAGAGCTGAGTGTCTTTTTGGCTTGCTGGCCGTTGAGAAACGTAAAAAAAACAAACCAATATGATCTGGGCTCTGAGACCTGGTGCTCTGGGTTTAACGCAGTATAGAGTCCAGCGTTTCTCAAATGCGGCCACCAGTGGCTTTTCTTGCGGCAACAGCCTCCTGGGCTGTGATTGGGGGAAGGAGAGGCAAAGCAGCAGCCCCTCCCTGTTCCAGTTGCTCCTGGATGCACCGCCTTAGTGTTGGCTGCTGGGGCTGCAAGCAGGGGTTGGGCCCTGCCCCCCTCTGGAGACAGCTGGGGCACAACGCTGGAGGAGCAGGCAGCTGGTGAGTTCCCCACCTCCCCAGGGATGGTGGGGCTCAGGCTTTGGGCTTCACCCCTAGAGTGGTGGGGTGCAGGCTCCAGCTGCCTGGCTTCAGGCTCCATCCCTGTCCCCTGGCCACGGGGCTTTGGGTTCTGGCTACGGGACTTCAGACTCTGGCACCCCACTATCTCCTTTGCCCCCCCAACTCCATTGCCTCTGGCCCCTACTGCCTACCCTGACCCCCCATCCAGGGCTTAATTTGTCCCCAGGCTTGCCAAGGTTGAGTAAGTCTGCTGTGAAAAGTGATACTTTTATGTTTGTTAATATCACTTTTTACAGCAGACTTACTAGCTAGCAATAAATAAATGACAATGATTTGGACATGTATATGTGCATATTTATTTGTTTTTCTTAAAGCTAATTAAGTACTTTAGGAAAAAGTGTGAGAGCATCCACCAGCAAGAGTTGGTGGCCGCACTCTTAGGCCACCAAAAAATTTCTCCTGAGAACCCTTTACCCTTAGTGACCCGGAGAGACCCTCTAGTCTGCCTTCTAGGGGTTAAGCGAGGAGCTACCACTTCCTTCTCCGTTATGACCTGAGTCTGGAATTTGAACCTAGCTCTCAGTTACATCAGTGCAAATCAGCAGTAAAATCAATGAGCTTACATGGGTGTGAAACTGATGTGAATGAGAGGAGAATCGGGCTCATGGGCCAGATTTTCAGGAAAGCTCCATTCCCAATGTGCTGAGCTGTCTTCGAAAGCTGGCTGCGGTGGCTTGTCTGCAGCGGTCACCGGAACAGAAATCCCTAAACCACTTGTGCGAACTCCTTTGGTTTTGATACTAGTCTGCATAGATGCTCTTACTGCAGGGTAAGGTAACACTAGTCTGATAACTTGAATTGATTTTTTTTTTTTTTTTTTGCTGGCTTAAGTTATATCAGAATAGGGGTCTTTTATTTCACAGTAAGAGCATCCATGCACAGACTAGCATCAGACAACTACAACTAACTATTTCAGTCCCAGTTACTGCATAGGTAAGTCCATAGACCCCAGAGATGAAAGACTACTGCATCCTTATAATTCTTCCCTGCCCTTTAAGGATGGCTGCTTCTTGAGCTGCCTCTCGTTCCACCAGTCCCTGTGGCTTGGGTTAAGGTGCTCTGCTATTCAGGGGCTGCCTTTGTGCTCTCAAAGCCAGTGGTCGCCATGTTATCCATTGCAAAACTGGTTTACTCTTCATATTGCTCTCCATTTTGAAAGTGATATCTGGCCGGGTTATGTGGCTCTCTTCCAGTGAGCAGCCTGGTCCATGGCATCATAAAATACAGCCCTCTGATATCCCGGTAACCTCAGGGGAGGGTAAACAAACTCTAATGCAAACTTTTATTGGTAGTGGAATCGAATGAACTTTTCTTAGCTTATCAGAGGAGATAGAAGTTCCGGTGAATGTTACAGCCCAGTGCACTTATGTCGGGGGGGGGGGGGAGATCTGTATGCAAACGGGGTATGGTCCTTGGGCACCTGGGAAGATGTTCATGCAGCCATCACTGCAACAGCAGGCACACCTAGCACCACTTTCTTGTTCTCATGCAACAGCACAATGCTGCTGTCTTACTGGGCTCATAATGCTGCAGGGAAATGACTACATAAAGGTCATTCCATTTCCCCTGCCCCAAATCTATAGTAGGAGCTTGTAAAGTCTGTTCTATCATCTAAATCTAAATCTTGGGTCCCAGACCAGCGGACTGTGCCCTGTTAACAACTATTCAGCTCACAACTATGCCTGTCTGTTCAGGGATTTGGCTCCCCTGCCAAATTCCCAGCCTGGTGTTTAGGCCAATATGGAAACATCTTCTGCAAAGTGTCATTTGTTCATGTTTATCTCCAAACATATTACCTGAGCTAAAGGAACTCCCAGCTTAGGAGGGCTTGTACATCTGCAGCCAGTGCTGCTGAGTTTGTCCTAAAGTACAGCTGTTCAACACTTTTTGAATGAAACACTATTTTTCATGGAAATGCCCTCTCCTTTTTTTTTTTTTTTTTTTTAAAGGAATCTTCTGTTTTGTTTTGTTTTAAAGATTCTTTTAAAATAAAAATGTTTTGGTTTTCCTTTCTTTTCTTCTCCTCCCCCACTATTTTCCGTGGCAAAGCTGGGGCGGGGGTTGAAGTTGAAGGCCCGGAAATTTTGTGAAAATATTTATTAGCTAACCAAAACAATCATTCCTCTTTGAAACCTGCCATGTTTTTATACCTTGTGTGTGTATGTGTATGTGTGTGTATATATATATATATATATATACACAATTTTGCAAAAATGCTCCCATTTTTGGATCCTGTAGGATGGGGGACCAGGAGACAGGATTTCTGGGCCCGACTCTTCCATTGTCCTGCACTTATTGCAAAGTGACGGTAAAATGCCACCGAATCAGACAGGCAACATTTGACACGTGCTTTGTGCTGGTGCGACTGATGACATGATGCAGGACAACAAAATCTCGCCCTCCTAGGGTTTAATCCTGACTGACCCTGGCTTGCTGTATGTTGTTGTGCAAGTCACCTCAGTGCCATGATTGGGTGTGGGGAATAACGAGGCTCACTTGAGGATGTTGTGAGGCCTGATTCATGCTTTGAGGGGCTATGAGAGCCCTGAATGAAAGGGGTGATGCTAGTGCCAAGTATGATGTGTGCCAGTGTAAACACATCTGTCTTGTGATTTTTTTCCCCCCTGCTGGGAGACTAAGACCCAGGGAATTTTTCTGAGAGGTGATTTGTGGGGGAGGCTTATGCAAACCAGACCTCTGGGGGGTCCCCAGCTATCAGCACTCATTGGTTAGCTTGTAAACTGAGGAAAGGTTTTTGATGGAGGTGGGGGAAGCTGTCCTGGCTCCTATAAATGCCTGGCTACTCTGGTGTGTGGGTGGAGGGGGTAGGGTGACCAGACAGCAAGTATGAAAAATCGGGACGGGGGTGGGGGGTAATAGGAGCCTATATAAGAAAAAGCCCCAAATATCGGGACTGTCCCTATAAAATCAGGACATCTGGTCACCCTAGGCGGGGGGAAGGAGGTTGAAGAGCAGGGCAAGGTCAGCTAGGAACAAACAGGCCTTTGTGTTCTTGTGCTCTCGCCGCCAGCTAATCAGCTTAGTTTTCTAACTTTTCTTTCCCGCAGATCTTATAAAGCACGGGTGCGAGAGGATAGAACAGACCATCAAGGCCTCGGGCTCCAGGCTGTGCTCCTAGTGAGTATAAAAGCCTCTCAATGGGACACTAGCCCTTTAAAACGCAGCCTGCTAACCTCTGCTCTAGACAATAATTGGTGAGCAGAGTGGGCTGGCACGGGCCAGAATTGTGGGCAGGGCTCTGGGAGCTGCCTCCAGCACAAACAGGCACAGCCAAGGAGCGTCCCCTGCCATGGCACTGATTCTGCTTTGGAGGAAGGGCTTTCTCTAGCTGCTGGGAGTCCAGGTGGCCCATGCCTCTTGCAGAGGGGAACGTCTTGCTGTGAGAGATCACACTGGGTGTGTGTGTGGGGGGGAGACCTAGGGGGTATTCAGTGTGCGGTTTGGCTGGCTGGTTACAAGGGGTGCAGAGGGGTGGGGGTTTTCATGGGCCTGGAGAATGCTCCAGAGATGGATGGACCCACCCATATGTCTGCAGAGCTTCCTCCAAGACAATATGTGAAGCTTTCGGGGGGTGGGGAAGGAGCTTGGTTTTAATATTATTTAACCTTCGCTAAAGGTGAGGTGTGAGGGGGAGGGCTTAGAAAGGGAAGTGGGGGCTGGGGCTGGCTCCCTTTGTTCTCATCTACATAACCCCCAACCACAGACAACCAGCTCCCAGGAACTAGAGAGGGCCAAGCTACAAAGTGTCTCTTTTGGTTCCTTCCTGCGCTTGTCAATCCAAAGTGGCATTTGGAGCTGGTGGCTCGGAACCACCGCTGAGCACGGCTCTTTCCTAAAAGGTGTCCCTGCTAATGCTGGCCTGGCTCCTGCAGCCCAGAGCTCCCCCAGGTCCAGACCTGCTTTGCTACCTGGGCTAGTAAAGTCTGTAAAACCGTGTCAGACGTGTGGACCTGGTCTACGCTGGCTTAGGAAATGGCATCAAAACTGGGCCAGCACCGTCCTGGGAAAAGCCGGGTGGTCCAATCCAGCTTGCGTTATCTTGGCTTCCCTGCAGAGCCAAAAGGACCGTCTGGGTCTGGAGAGGGGGATTGAGCCCCAGCACATCACGAGGCTGAAAGCGTGGGGTGCGTAGCATCCCCGCTGTTCTCAGCACCTGCTTGAACTTCTATGGTGGGCTAAGAGTCCTCACCTGGGCCGCTGCACTAGATGGTCACGGTTTTTGTTAGGCAGTAAGGTCCCCCCTCTTAAGAGGCTGTGGAGTGTGACTGTGTGAAAGGGTCACACTACCCCAGAGCCAGCTCTCTCTGCAGCAATTGGCCGAACCAGAGTTGCTCTGACGAGACACTGGCTGTGTTGGAATTCTGGCTGGGTCTGTTGCAGCAGCAACTTCCCATCTGCACTCTGAGCTCAGTAGAAGTGTGGGGGGGGCCTCTTTTCAAAAGAGACCACTTTTTTGGAGGTGCCTTTTGGGGGGAGGGGCACTCAATCTGAGGCCCCGAGGGCCTGACTTTCAGTTGAAGCCAATGGAAGGTTCAGGTGCTCAACAGCTGGGAAAATGGGGTGCTAGGCGTCACATGTAAAACACCCAAACACAGAGTGTCAGAATCAGTGGCCACCCCTGAAAAGTTTGGCCTGATAATTGAGTTTTATTCTTGTGGCTGATCCTGGGCACTTAAATACCTTGGGCCTGCACCTTGTGCTGTCACTTACATGGGTGCAGAGTGAGGGCACTAACTGCTACCCAATGAGAGAGAGTGCATTCTGTTCTCCCCTCTACACCAGTGGAAGCGGCTATACAAGCTGCAGGGCAATGAAGAATCAGGCCTCATGGCTCCAAACATTGTGCTGGAAGTATGATCTGTGAGGCCCCAAGTTACTGGGTGGGGAAATCCTTTTTCCTGCTCTATCCATTCTCATCTGGGAAGATCATGCAGGTCCCCTTAACGGGTGCCTGCTTTCCGTGTGCTGAAGGCTGGCTCTGAACCCTGACAGGCTGGGGGCTAAGGGCTAAGTGCTGATGAACACTCTCTTTGCTGGTTCATTGTATTATCATTATCTTTTTCTTTCAAGTGCTGAAAGAGTTGCCTTCTTAATGGACCGTTCCAAAAACCCGGATAACAGCCCCCAGGTAAGGTTCTGGCTTGCTGGCTCCTATGCAGAATTACTGTTAATTGTAACAGGGAGGAAGGAGACATTTGTAGGAGAAATGTGAGCTGGAGAACTTAACCTTAATCCTTCTCTCCTCTTGGAAAAGAGGGAGGAGCTTGGGGTGTCTCTGCAGGCAAAGAGCAGTTTGTTTGGAATCGTTCCGTTCCAGGTATGGGGGAGAGATGACCCTTGTCTTGCCATGGGTGGGAGGTGACTCACGACACCCCACTTTCGCGATCCCCTTGAGCCAGCTCCAGTTATTGCAGGATTCCTCAGCCACACTGGGAGCATCACCATCAAGTTGACTGCGGATCTTGAGCCATGACACGGTGCCCAAAAAACCGCATCAGGCTGGGCACTCTTAACCCCACACCTGCATATTTGATTCATTCCTGCCACGAGAATCCTGCAGGGCTGCAGTGCGTCCATGCTGATCAGGGTCCTTGTGCTTCACCTGTGACTGTCCCTCCAGCTGATCCCCTGGCAGGACTATAGACCCCCCTCACTTCCCCTGAAGCTCGGCAGGTCAATTGCACGCCTCCATGGTTGGGGATTCTTGAGCTCCACCCCATGCTCAGAGTGAGTGTGTGTGTGTGTGTGTGTGTGTGTGTGTGTTCCCACCCGACAGTCTCTCATTGCAAAGGGTGTTTTGGCAGGGTGGGGGGTGTCCCCAGGCTTTGGTCCTTGCAGACTCTACCCTATAAAACCAATACACTCCTCCTGTTGGCCTTGGCGGCCTCTGGGATTGCTTCCTTCTAGGCCTGCCTTGGCCCTGTGGTCTCTGATGGGTGATGCTGGATGGAGAGGAGGGAGCTGCTCTGATTTTGACTAGGACACTGCAGGAAGCAGGAGTGCAAGGAGCACGAAGGCCTGGTTCCCTGTTAAGTGTAGGGACAGGGAAAATCCCCCTGTGGCTAGAGGTGGGGAAGAGGAGGGAAAGGACCTGTGTGTATGGGGGATGGGCAGGAAGAGAATGGGCTCTATTCCCCACCCCCACCCCCAGCCCTGCCCCGTGCCACCAGAGAAAAGCAAAATTCCAGAGCTTTAGCGTAGCTTTCAGTTCTGAGTGGTGCCTGAGCCATGGGCTGGATTAGTGCTGTTGTCAGGCTGTAGGAAGATTAATTTCCTGGCTCTGAATTCCAGCCCTGGGTGTGCTTGGCAGGTGTCTAGGGTCCCTGCAATCTCTCTGGCAATGGGGTCTGTAAGTGCTACAGAAATGGGGAGCTCTCCCCACGTGTGCTTGCGTATGAGTTCATCGCTCGGCGCAGATGGTGGCAATCACCCATGCGTTCCTGCGGCCTGTGTGACTCGCATGCAAAGAGGGCCCAGCGAGTGTAATGCCGCACGTCGCTTTTCCTGACGCCCAGGGTGTTCGTCTCACACGAACCATGCCAGCAGCTAAACCTCCTTCTATTACTCCCTCACAATAAGTCAGGCAGATGTGGGGCCTGCCTGGGTGCATGGGATTTGACTGATGCTGTTGCTTTAGGACATGAGTAGAGCTTAGGTGAGGAAGAGAAATGAGATTCCCCCTCCCCCCGAACCCTGCCCCCCATTTCCTGTGCACAGTGTCCAGGGACGGACCTCCTTCTGGAGGGACTTATCCAGCCAGGTGCCAGAAGATTTGTTCCACTCTCACTGGTGAACTTGGAGGAGTTGGGGACTGGTGTGTGTGTGTCGGCGGGGGGGAAGAGGGGGGAAATAAAGCCAACTGCTCCAGTCTAAGGGCCACCGTTGACTGAGATTCTGACTCAAAAATAGGCTGACCGTGTCTGTTTGGGGTTGTAACACATAACTTCCTGCAGCAAGTGAAAACATGTCTGCTTTGAAACTCTTCACTGGAATCCCATGTTCCTTCTCAGGGAAATGCTGACTAATTGCTTAATGTCTGTGTCCCCTCCAGCCTCCGACACCGACTGACAACATCAACCTTGGCCCTTCTGCTAATCCGAAGTAAGTAGCCTGCGTTTACATGGGAGAGTATTGAACCCGGTGCACAAGGTTAGCCTTACAGTGAAATAACTGATTGGTTACCCATCTGATTTGCTCCATCTGAGCAAAGAAATCATAACTAGCAAATGGCCCAGGCGGACACCGTTATAGCGCGTATCTCAAAGGTCAGCTCTCTGGGGGCTCAGCCATAGCTAGTCACATGTTCAGATTTCTGCTTTGTCACTTTGACTGAGGTCACGATCCTCATCTCCTGCCCGCACTCTAATGCCTGCCCCCCGACCCCCAGCCCCTTGTCTTTTGCTGCTTCCACCTGGTACTTTGGTTCCCTGTTAGGTGGGGGAAGGAGACTCTTCCTTATTTTGATTCTATTGCATCTCCCTGCTGTCTGCTTTATCAGCCAGAGCCCCTCCCAGTCTTTGGAGAGAGAAAGCAAAGAGCTTCATTTGCACCTAACCTTCAGGTGCATTTGAGGATTTAACGGCTTTCTCTGCCACTATCATATTCAGGAGAGTAGATTCTCCAGGTGTCTGGCATACTTGGCTAGGGATTCCACCCCACTGCTGCCCTTGTGTGTCTGTATTGCACCATACAAAATCTTTACCTGCTGGATTGCTGCATTTGTGGCTGGAAGAGGGAAGGAAGCTTATCTAGTGAATGAAGATTATATCTCCCACCCATCTTCCAGGGCTGACCCTCCTTGTGTACTTTTGAAAAAAACGTTACTTAACATTTAGCCCATGGAATGGGTGGTAACCTGCTGTCTCCTTGTCCAACAGTGCCAAGCCAACGGACTTTGATTTTTTGAAAGTTATTGGCAAAGGAAGCTTTGGAAAAGTAAGTGGGTGTAGCTTGGGGTCGATCGTGGGTTTCTGAAGGCCTCCTTGCATGGTCTCCTCTTTCCCCTTGCTGAACTAGTTTCCACCAGCAGCGGAGTGGGCTTCATGTACCCCTCCTTGAGTAGCCCATCACCAGTGCTGAAACGGGCCTAGGAACAAAGAGGCCTGTAGCACTAAACAAGTGACTAGGGTAGGTTGAAGGCAGTAGGCTAGCCAGTGTTTTGCATCTTCATTGCCTGGCAAGGCTTGAGAGCCAGGATGATTTCTTGGTCCACTTTCCTTCCAAGCAACCCAGAGGTAGTACCCCAAAGGTAGTAGGAGGGAGGGTATAAGAGCAGCACTTGAAATACTGCTCATCTTGGCACATTCTCACACAACTAGGCGAGGGTCCCTGGGCATGTCTGTGCTTTGTGAGATGACAGTGATCCTCTAGAAAGGGGATTCTCTCCCTCTGAAACTGCTCTAGCTGGATACTGGGTGGAGTGAGGGGAAAGTAGCTGGGGAATTGAGGGGAAGCTTAGTTTGCTGTGTGCCCTTGTCAAGGGATGGAAGGAGAAAACATCTGGCTGGCTTCTCATGCTCTGAAATCCTAGCCCAGCCCCTTGTGCAGTCACCTGCACTAGTCACAAAAGTGGTGTGAAACACTAACGAAATAAATAGGGATACCTCAGTGGTTTGAGCATTGGCCTGCTAAACCCAGGGTTGTGAGTTCAATCCTTGAGGGGGCCATTTAGGGATCTAGGGCAAAAATGTGTCTGGGGATTGGTCCTGCTTTGAGCACGGGGTTGGACTAGATGACCTCCTGAGGTCCCTTCCAATCCTGATGTTCTATGAAATCGGAATGGAGTAGAGCGCCCACGACCCTCACCTCGCCCTTCTGCTGTAGGTTCTCCTGGCCAAACGCAAGTCTGATGGGATGTCTTATGCTGTGAAAGTCTTGCAGAAGAAATCCATCCTGAAGAAAAAAGAGGTATGTTACAGACGAGCCCTCGGGGGGGGGTTACTTCTCTTCTTGGTGCTTTTTCTTCATGATAAAAGCAAGGCATCATACTAGTGTGTCTGTGCTGCTTGCTCTAGTCACCGCTGGTGTGCACCCCGACTGATCCACACTTTTTCAGGAGGATAGTGGTGCAGATGAAAGGAAAGCTGAATAGGGTGACCAGACGTCCCGATTTTAGGGGACTTGCCCACATCCCAACCTTACATCGGTCGGGACGCACTTTTTGTTCCAATATCGGGGGACCGCGGCAACCCGGCACTGCTGGCACCGCTCACCTCTTCTTCCGGGCCCTGGGGCAGTGCAGCTGAGTTCCCACCGGCCGGCAAGCACCTGCAGAGTGCTGCAGCCCCACTCCCCAGGCACGCACAGAGGCAGGGGCGGGGCTCGTAGGCGCGGGCAGCGAGCCCCCCTGCCCCCCTCAACCCGACCCGCGCGCGAGCTACGCGGACAGGAGCCAGAGGGACGCTCCCTCCTCCCCCCGCTGCCAGCCCTGCGAACATGGCTGCAGCACGGCTGCGCTTCTCCCTCCTGCTCCTCGCCCTAGTTGCCCTGCTCTGCCCTGCTCCTGCCTGCGCAGTGGCCTCTCTGCTTGGCCGCCAAGCACCTGGACCGGCGCTTCGCCGAGCGCAAGCGCTGCACAAACCCAGAGTGCAGCAGTAAGTGGGCGCTGGGGTCCCCGGACGGGACCTGCCTGCTGAATAATGAGGCTAGCACTGGGGGGGGTGGGTGCTGTGCCAGGCAGGCTCTGGGAGGGAGGACGGGGGGTCCGATGCCGGTCTGGGTAGCCCGTGCGGGGCGGGGTGATGCTGCTGCTGCTGCTGCTGCAGCAGCAGCAGCCCACAGGCGGCGAGGGACGGGAGACCCATGGGGAGGCCGGGGTGGAGGCAGTGCTCTCGGGGCCGGCCCCCGGGCAGGGCCATGGGGCCGCACCTGTGGGCACCACGCACATGGGCCGCGATCCGGCCGCGAACCAGCAGGGCTGGCTCTGGCTTTTTTGCCGCCCCAGGCAAAAAAGCCTCCGGCCGCCTCCCCCCCCCTGCGGGGGGGGGGGGCGGCCGGCCGGAGCTGGGGGGGGCGGCTGGAGCCCCGGCGGGGGCTCGGCTCTCCCCCCAGGCGGCCAGAGCGCCGGAGGCAGGGCCGCAAGCCCCGGCTGGGGCTCGGCTCTCCCCCCGGCGGCCAGAGCGCCGCGCCGCCCCCCTCCAGGTGCCGCCCCAAGCACCAGCTTGGTGCCTGGAGCCGGCCCTGCGAACCAGACGCTTCTTCGTCCCTTTAAAGGGCCAGTAGCCTGGCGTCCCGTCGGTCGGGTTCTCTCACGCATGCCGGCCCAGCCCCAGTGCGGGGTGTGAGGGGAGGCATGTGTTTGGCCATCGGCTCCCCACCCCCATCTGCAGCGTTGGTACGTTCTGAGCGGAGCGGGAGGGGACGAGTGGCAGTTGGCCAAGAGTGGGCGAAGGGAGGGGGCTGAGGGACGTGGCCTGAGCACACCCTCTGGCGCTGGGCGGTGGGGGCAGAGTTCAGGCGCGCGCGGGGGAGGGGCCGCCAGGGGCCCCACTGCCGTGTGCAGTCAGTGTGCGCGAGGCAGCGGTCAGGGCGGCTTGTTCCTTTTTTTGCTCCGGCTTGTTTTTTTTGTTTTTTTGCTCCGCCCTCCCCCCCCCCCCCCGTCCCGATATTTCACTTCTGTCATCTGGTCACCCTAAAGCTGAACAGCAATGGCTTGAGCATGGTGCAAACAAGCTCTGCCACTGCTCAGTCCTTGCCCACCCAGCTCCTATGTCTGCACTATAACTGTTAACAATATTTCTGCATCCACCCCAAACCCTGGGCCTGATCCTGCAAATACTTACTAGCAAGCATAGCGCTTACAGCTGTGAGTAGCCCCATTAACTTCACTGATGAGTACTCGCAGTTGTAGGCACTGTGTCTTGTGCTCCCAGGAGGCGTACCACAGTGTGGAGTATGTGTATGTTGTGATGTGCCGCAGGGAGGTAGGACGGGGAGGAATTGTCAAACGTGGTTCTGGTGGAATCCTGCTCAACAAGCCTTTGCTTGCTGGCTCAGTCATGCTCCAAGGCATCCTTCAGGGGACTGGGTATTGACCTTTCGGATACTGAACCTACTCACCCCCAGGAACGGCCAGCTGGCCTCAGAATGAATAACAATATCGGGAGCTTGTTGAGAACCTTCTATTTGAAGATCTCCCAGCACTAGGTGGCCACTCGCCTGCCAGACTCTGGAACGGCACTAACTGACCTACTAACACATCTTTGCCTGGTTCTGCGCAGCAAACCCACATTATGGCGGAACGCAATGTGCTGCTGAAAAACGTGAAACATCCTTTCCTGGTGGGCCTCCACTACTCTTTCCAGACCTCCGAGAAGCTCTACTTTGTGCTAGACTATGTCAATGGGGGAGAGGTGAGTGCAAGTGTACAGCTGTCATTTTAGACTCCTACTGTACATTAACAGTCCTGGCTCTATTTGTCTCCCATCAGGAACCAAGCTGTGGATGTTTGTGCTAAAGCAGCATCATGCCTGTTTCTGAAATGGCCTTGTTCAGACTGGGCACACACTACTGTGGCATTCATCAGTCCAGTCAGAGACCTATCCTAGGAACACTGCCTTTTGAATGAGACTCTGGTGCCAAGCACCTTAGAAATAACATCTGGCAAAATCTTCCACATGCAGTAGCCTGGCCCCATAGGCACTCTCTGATCTAGATTGTAAAATAAACCACACACCCCTCACTTAACTCTCTTGCTTGTCTTGTGGCTTCAGCTGCAATCTGTCACATGTGGGCCTTCTCCTACTGGTGTACAGCAGAGGTCGGGCTGCCCATCAGTGAAGGAACATCTGAGGCAAGGGTGGTGAGGGAGGGGAATGGCAGTCTCTCAAACCACTGGGGGGTCAAATCTGACTATAGCTGGCTACCAAAACTCTAGTGTGAGTCCCTCTCGTCCATCCTGTTCTAGCGAATGGAAGCTGCTCTGTGGCACCGCTTGCTCTCCCATTCCTGAATCTCAACTGAAAGCAAACGTTGAAGCAGCAAAGGCGCTTTCTATGCTCCATCACGAGGCCTGGTTGAACATGGCTGTTCCCTGCCCAGTTACAGTTCATAGAAGGGAGGGGATCTTAGATGTGGGGGAGGGGATCTTAGATGTGTCATTGCCAGACATTGTCTCTGATGTTTCGCCTGATGTTACAGACTGCACTACACGTTGTAGCGAGGTGGAGGCATGACTATGTTGTGACCAGGTTGACTGTAATGGTGATGTTGGGGGGGGCATGACTGCACCCATCCAGGAAAACCTTTAGATTGCTAAATAAGGCAGCGTGGCTCTAGCTAATTCTGTATGACTGGCACAGTTTACTCTCTGCAAACTGCAATCACTCGGTGGCTGGCATTCAAATAGCTTCACCTCTTTGTAGGAGGAGACCTCTGTCTCAACAAGCCAAGGCTTGAGATTAGCAGCCCAGCTGCCTCTGGAGCTCTCCTTCTTGGGAAAGAGGTGTTAGTGCTGGGGAGAGGGGTTAGCTTTCAATGGGAGTGAACAGAAGGTGGAAAAGGGGCTGTTCAGAATGTCCCTGCAAATGGCAGCAACACTGCGGGGTCGGGGACGGGATGATGGGAGAGGACTGCTCCCAAGTAACCAACAGGCTGTTTCCTCTCTGTTCAGCTCTTCTTCCACCTGCAGAGAGAGCGCTGTTTCCGTGAACCTCGTGCCCGCTTTTACGCAGCTGAAGTAGCCAGTGCAGTAGGGTACCTGCATTCCTTGAACATAATCTACAGGTAGGGTGCATGTCCCTGGTGTGTATAGCAGGCACTAGTAACTCCCTCTTCCCTGTTCCCCGCCCCCCCCCTCCCCCCTTGGCTGCACCTAAGTGTGTGTAAAATATTGAGGAGGGGCAGGAAACCACTTGATATTGTAACCGTGCAGGCATGTTACAAGGGGCACTCCTAAAAGCAAAGTGCAGAACTAATGGGCAGGGCTGTGTTGTCCTCTTAAACTAGGCTTCAGAACTATGCTCTTGATCCAGGCTCTCCTGTGTGTTTCAGAACTTCTCCTGTAGCACCTCCCTGAGCCCCTTCTAGGGAAATAACCCATCCCCTGATTTACCTATCTTATAGAACTGGAAGGGACCCTGAACAGTCCTTGAGTCCAGCCCCCTGCCTTCACTAGCAGGACTAAGGACTGATTTTTGCCCCAGATCCCTAAGTGGCTTCCTGAAGGATTGAACTCACAACCCTGTGTTTAGTAGGCCAATGCTCAAACCACTGAGCTATCCCTCCCCCCTCTTTCAGTCCTTGAATGGGGCTTTGGCTTTGGGAAGGAGGGGGCAAAGTTAGCTTGGTTTGTTTTAAATGGGAGGAGAAGGTAGTTTAGTACAACACATGAGAGGCAAAGTCTCAGGTCAAGAAATTAAAAATGTTTCTCACAGCAGCTGTAACTGCCACACGGTGCGACCAGATACTATAGCATATGCCTAGCAGCCTCTCTAGCCTTACAAAAACACTAATATTTATATATCAAACACATGCTATGCTGATTCACGGCTGCTGCGGGAGCTATAACTCTAGAGTTCCTGACGGCCATGGGGTTCTCATAGATCTCAGTGCACCAGACTATCAACATTTCTCAGTCCCCTGCAGTCCCCATTCTTTTCAACTGGAGCTGTTGTGTGTTGAGCTCTTCGGAAAATCTGGTTCAGCATCACGTCTTTCTCTTCTTCTAGGGACTTAAAACCTGAAAACATCCTCCTGGACTGCCAGGTATGTTCGGCTCTCTTGCAAACACGTCTGCTTCCTGAATTCTCTTCACAATTTTTCGTGCACGCTAGCTTGGGTATGACAGAGAGGAACCATGAGAAATTACTGCCTCCCTTTTCCCTCTCCCTCCCCCAAATAACCTGGTATACCCCACATCCATTCAGTAGGGGGAGCCACAACACTGACTTGTAAAGCAAGCAGCTATATTAACTCTGCATACACATACTCCCTCCTGCTACTCAGTAGTTTCCCAGAGCTCAGATGTTAGCATTTTTGTTATATCTGAGCACTAACCCATGGAAAAGCATTTTAAATATCCCATATGGCAGGTGTAGACTTGAGCATTGTAAAGCTCCACTAACCAAGCAATTCCCTGGACTGATGGAGGGAATTGCTGATCAGTCTGGCCAGTTTAATAGATACTTATACATAGGCGTGGCAGAATTTTATTTCAATTTTTAAAAAATAATAATGTTGACATCAATTTTTAAATTTTCACAGTTGCAGGAAATTATCGGGGGGGTCAGACACAGAGAGGAGGTCAGATAATTATTTAATGATACTTGACATTGAGATTCAAAAAGTTAAAGCTTTATAACTATTTTAAAACACAGATTGTCAGTATCACATGTCAAAAGATACAAAGTACCAGTAAATATGCTTAAACTCTCAAAAGTTCTCAAGCAGCATTTTTCTAAAACTGAAAAAAGTGTAAATTTTATTATTACAGATAGAAATGTATATTTTTACATCTGTTTGTGGGTACAATGAAATTGACGTTTACGGATAAAAATCAAATCCTTACAAGCCTACATTTAAACCATATATTTGTGAGAAGTCTCCCCTCAGATTTCCTGTTCAATCTGTTTGCATGTATAAATGCCCAGCAGTTGCGAAGCTGAAAGGTGCACATGAAAACAGCAAAGGGGGCTAGAAATCCATGCACCCCCAGTAGGGAGAGCTTGATTAGGCTGAAATCCCTTCTCCTCTTTAGGGACACATAGTACTGACAGACTTTGGACTTTGCAAAGAAGGAATGGAGCCAGAGGAAACGACGTCTACTTTTTGTGGCACCCCAGAGGTACAGTATGGTCAACTTGTCAACTTTCTTGTTGACTGGGAATTACTTAGGCACTAATTGCCTGACACATCAGAGAGGCAGGTGCTCAGCTCCTCACAGAGGTGTCAATCGGAGCTGTGTGTATTCAGCATCACTGAAAAATCGGGGACCAAGATCTGAGACAGTCTCAGCCTCTTTTTTTGACGTGCATGGTGCTGAATATGCTGGCATGTTGCATGAAAGGAACCAAGGAGGCTAAAACTTCCTGTTTGTTCCCCATTGCTGTCATACCAGTTTGGGTCCCACCGAGTTCTTATACCCTTTTACAAAAGCATTATTCCCTTTTGCAATGTAACACTGCCATCCCCCATTTCTTCCCCTTCCTCCCCTCCACTTGCATTCCTACTGCAACTGGTGGAAGAGGGGTAAACTTGATTATCACTGCTGAAAAACAGCCTTTACCTTGGGGCAACTAATGTCTCCGAGGTATCCTGAGGTAAAAACACAGTGAAGACAAGGCACTTTGGTTTTACCACAAGGTAGGCTAGGTGAGGTCCACACTAAAGTGTCTTCCCTGTGGTTTTTACCTCAGGATAGCTTGCATGTGTTAATTACCCCATGGTTTTAGAAGTGACGACAAGGCCTGAGTTTAATAGGGTGTGTTTGAGGATGGCCTAGTCTCTATTCCCTGGAATGGTGCTGAAAACATGTCTGTTCTTGCCATGGGGTTTAGAAGGGTTGCGGAAGATCCATTGCTGATGATCATTGTCAGTAGCAGGGCCCAAGTATAGATTGGACCAATGGACTGTGAACCATTGCCTCTAGAAAGCTTACTCGTGTCAACTGGGTGTCCTCTCTGAAACCTAATAATGATTTTTTTTCCAATGCCACCCTTGCAGAAACTGCTGACTGACTCTTATATCCTTACCATGTGTTTTTTTTGTTTTCATTTTAAACTTTGCTCCACAGGTATCAGGTTTCAAGATTTAAACATCCAAATAGGAGAAATTCACCAGGGCATTCAATTAACAGGAGATAGGCCTGGTCTACACACAGATCTCTTTTGTACTGGTATTCATATTTTAGTATGGATGCAGTTTTAGTATGGATGCAATATAAAGGTGCTTACACCAGTATAACTTTACACTGATCAAACTGTCCACACTGGGGGGCAGCGGAGGGAGGCACAGGGCTGTACTGTTTTCACTACATTATTATAGTTAAAGCATTACAATTTTTGCGTGTAGACAAGGCCTTATTTTAACTTGTGACAGGATGGCTTTTACTAAACTGATTAGTATGTTGAATAAACTTGCTTTTAAAATGTTGCAACTTTTTGGGGGAGGGGGGAATCCTGCTCATTCTGGAATGGGAGTTCCTGCAGAACCTGGCAAGACTTCCAGTAGCCATGGTGACAACCTTGACACTGGAAAGAAGGACCTTCTATAGCTACGCTCCTTGATTATAATACTTACTCCTGTAGCTATGAGCACAGTGTTCCAGATATTTACTTGCTGCTGCCCCTTAATTCACAGAACACCAAGTTAATAGTCACATGGTCATTAGCGTCTCTTGATGACGCAGGTTGTGACCCTCTCTGCTGCCTTGCACCTTGTGACATCGCCACTGCAAAGTGGCTGTAAAATGCTACTAAGAAGAATAGGAAGTTTTGTTTCCAGCACAGGTGTAAATGGTGGCAAGGTAAAATGTGTCCCCTGTGGGGGAAGGACACAATTTAAAATACTTTTTGCTTGGGATAGGAGAGGGAATGCTTCCTGCCACTCACCTGACTTTTCTGTCCCACTCACCCAAATGCAGCTGAAATGCCAGAAGCATTGCTGCTTCTCGGACTGACTGCAGGGGGCTGCATTCAATAGGTGGGTTCTCTTCTGGTTCCTTAACACTAGCAGGCTAGATTTAAGTAACTCTCCAGCCTGGATTTGGTTCACTAGAGTGTTGGGTAGAGATGAGACACCACAAGTCTCCCTTCCAGTTGCCTCCAGGGAGTATTTGCTGCTACTTCAGTCCCATTCTCCTCCTTGCAGAATTTTCTGTGAGAAATAGAATGCAAACAACACAAAGCTGCTTGTGCACCTGAATCTAGTGCTGGTCCATTGCCATGTTACAGGTACGCTCCATTCAACTCCCTCTGCTGTGCATAAGCTCAGGACAGCGACTGAGGATATGCACCTGTTTGAGGCCCACAAACTGAGCCATATGATATGAATTCAGTAAAAGTTCTGTGGAAGCTTAGGTGTATTGACTCTTCCTTCTTACGCTATGCTGAGATTGCTAGCATGTAAAATAGCTACATGCCAATGTGCCTGGTGTGCTGTTGTCTTTGTAAAGCACTATTGAAATCTTGCATGTGGTTCTTACAATATGTAAGTAGCAGCACTTCTTCTTAGCGTATGTGCAACATGCCTCAGTTGGCCCGTGATCAGGATTCGTCACTGAATTTGGTCTGCTGGTTGGATCATTAGCATTCCCGGCTTGGGGCGGGTACTGATGGGGAGTGCGACGTGAACGCTGATCCATGCCCCCCAGTAGCAGCACTGAAGGCATAAAACTCCCCTACTGGACGGCGTTAACCAGTACAGTCTGTGGAGGTGGCTAAGGCCACTCGCAGACACTTCTGTAACTTCCTTGATGTGCGTTTCTGCTCCCAGTTCGGTCATTCATCAAATGTCTCTTGTTAACTCACTACTCCCCCTCCACCCCGTGAAATGAACCCAGCTTTCCCTTAGGTGTTATTGCCTCTTTTTGAACCAAGCAGTTAGTTAAAGTTTGGGGCCCTAGGGATGTTCCAGATGGGAGTAGAAACTGACAATAATCAGGTGTTGCTTTGTAAATAAATACAACTGTGTCAAAGTTCTGCTTCTCTGAACGCAGGAGGTACCAAGAACAAACGAAGCAGTTTCTTAGGGCATGGCTACACTTGCAGATGTAGAGCGCTTTGAGTTAAACCAGCCTTCGTAGAGCGCAGTAGGGAAAGCGCTGCAATCTGTCCACACTGACAGCTGCAAGTGCACTGGCGTGGCCACATTAGCAGCTTTTGCAACGGCCACAGAGAGCAGTGCATTGTGGTAGCTATCCCAGCATGCAAGTGGCTGCAACGTGCTTTTCAAATGGGGGGGTGGAGTGTGACAGGGAGTGTGTTGTGTGTAGGTGGGGGGAGAGAGAGTGGGTTTTTGGGGGGCTGAGAGCATGTCAGCATGCTGTCTTGTAAGTTCAGACAGCAGCAGACCCCCCCTCCCCCGCCTCTCTCTCTCACACACAGCATTCCACAGTAATGGTTGCTTTGTCCCAGAGCAGATAAGCAGCCGGCTGTCAGAAATGGAGCTTTCAAAGGGCATATCTGTATTTCTGCAGCGATTCCAAAACAATGACAAGAGTGGCCACTTGACTTAAGGGGATTATGGGATGTTTCCGGAGGCTGATCAGAGCGCAGTAATACAACACCTCGTTCACACTGATACCTGGGCGTTTCAGCCAAGGCGCACCAAACGTTAATCTTCTCACCGAGGTGGAGTACCAGGAGTACTCTAGCCTGGAGTCAGAGTGCTCTACGTGCCTTGCCAGTGTGGATGGGGTTGCTTTAATGCGCTCTAACTCGCAAGTGTAGCCAAACCCTTAGCTTATAGCCCCAAGCCTCGTTAGCCAACACACCCAAAAACTCTCCCTGGCTTTCTCCAGGGTCATGCTGTCCTCAGCAGCTCCTGCCTGGGTTTCTTGTTTTATGCTTCTGCTTCTCTCTGTTCTGTCTCTTCTTAGTTTCTGTGTGTTCTACCTCTTCCCCCTTACTCAGCAAACCCCTCCACCCACTCAGTCCAAACTCCTGGACGGGTTCACAACCCACTTTGATCTTAGATGAGTGGGCTTCTGATTAACTTATCCGAACAGTTCTGTTTATGGAAGGGTACATTCACACCCAGTCTCAAAGAGGAAGTCACCAGTACCTCTTGACATAACAGGTGTCTTCATGCTAGATACAGGGACGGGAAATCTGCAACTTCCCAGGTTAATTGTACTCTTATTAGTCAGCCACTCATGATTTTGGAAATAGCTGTACATCTAGGGCAAAGAGCCACACCACTGGCCTGAGTTCTGCTAAAACTCCCTTCCTCAAGTTGCATATAGAAAGATGGAAGCTTCTCAAACTTTCAGAAAAGTTTAGCTCTAGATCCAGTCTTGTGGCAGGGGGAAGTTCTAAAAAAAAAAAAAAAAAGCTGATGGAAATCACAGCTCTGAACCTCCCTAATGCTTTTATTTAGAGATTAATTAACTGCAACCTGGAATATGTAGTCATGGAAGCCTTTGTAATTTGTCTCAAACAAAGCTCTCTGACTCTTCACAGTACTTGGCCCCAGAAGTGCTAAGAAAACAACCCTATGACAGAACAGTAGACTGGTGGTGTCTGGGAGCTGTCCTCTATGAGATGCTGTTTGGGTTGGTGAGTCTTAAAATCACACACTGCAGCTTGTTGGAGAGCAAAAAGACTCTCCTTAAAGAAAGCAATGACCTCTTGAAGGCTATGGGCCACTAAAGCAGTAGTTCCATGTATAGGGTACCATGACATGGACGATCCCAACATAAATTAAAGTACTAGTTGAAATAGTCATCCTAATATTACTGAGATGAAAGCATTTAGTCTGTCTCTCTCCCTCGCACACACTGTAGAAATGGAATCTGATGGATTGTCTCTCACAGCTGTGAAATTGTTTGCATGCTTCATTATGGTATCTCATGTCTTATGTAGCTGATTTTCTCCTCTCTTCCCTATCAGCCTCCCTTTTACAGCCGGGATGTGTCTCAGATGTATGACAATATTCTACACCAGCCACTCCAGATCCAAGGAACCAAGACCATGGCAGCTTGTGATATCTTACAGGGACTGCTTCACAAGGACCAGAAGAGGAGGCTGGGGGCCAAGATGGACTTTGTACGTGGTGTTTCCCATCCTAACCTATTCTCTTCATACACAGCCAACCTCACCCCTCCTCCAAGCCCCTCTCCTCTTTCATATGTGTTCTACATTGGTTGATCTTAGTCTTAGGAAGACTTCAGTGTCAAGTAGAATGACATCTCTCCATAGCAGAAAGAAAGCTCCCTCTGGGTAAACATTCATTATTCAAGCCTTGGACCTAGCTACCTTGCAGTGTCCCATAAGGCTTGGCTTGGCTACTTTTCAAAGCACCATGATATTGCTTGTGTGCGACTTGTGAATTGCAATCTCTTCAGGGGTGTATCTAAATACAACTTTGAGGTGGGGCTTTGGGAGTGTGGGGGGGGGCGGGGAGAGGGGTTAAGCTCCATATTAGCAACACAACAGGAAGCTGTGGCTCAGAACTGGGCACAGGATGTTAAGACCTGCAGAGGGGACTTTATGCTGTCATGGTTAAAGGTGTGAGGAAGGGCTGGGTTGCCAGCATGTAGTGTCCCTGTACCATAAACAGGATACAGTAAACTCATGAAGTCTTTTGTGTTGGGAATACTCCAGTCTGCCAAGATGAGGAACGTTACAGCTTGTTTTTTTCCAACATGCTGTACGTAGCTGTAAAGCTACAACCGTCCACTATCGGAGAGCCTGTGCCTATTTAGTGACTGTTGGAAAAGGGATGGTTGAGGAGGAAGGTGGCAGGAGAGTGATTATTTCCCCCCCACCCTTCTTTGCAGCTTGAGATCAAGAATCATGTGTTCTTCAGCCCAATAAACTGGGATGACTTGTATCACAAGAGGATCACTCCTCCCTTCAACCCCAATGTGGTAAGTGGTGGTGGCTGATGCAAGTTTCCCCTGCATAACTTTAATGGGAAGGGAACTGAGATTGCAGTGGTCAAAGGTCCCTTGTTCAAATGTTCTAGCTGCTTCTAGATGTGGGGGGTTGGAGGGAGGAGGGGGAGAAATCATCCTCTGGAAACTTAGAAGTAACTTGCATCTTCTGCCTGTCTGTTCCTCCTCAACTTCCCATAGTACGATCACCGCTTCTAGTTGCTCCACTTATCGGGGGATGCAGTCGGCAAGTTCTGGGACAGAGGATGGGGGGAAGAAACTGTGTGTGTTGCAAAATTCCCCCTCTTCCCCTGCCCCACTGCTAGTTGTCTTAGTTGATGACTTTTTCTTCTTTAGTGCTGTTTAAATATACTTCCTGAACTGTAAGCTAATGTCTCTTTTGTGGGAATATAAAATAAGGGTTTGGTCACAGCTGTCTAAAACAGTTCTGTCTAAAGAAATAACTTGTCTGAATGCTTAGGCCTGTTCATCTGAAATGATGTTATATATGGTTGTTTGTTTGTTTTTTAGTCTGGTCCTGCTGATCTGCGACATTTTGACCCAGAGTTCACACAAGAAGCGGTCTCCAACTCCATCACCCGGACACCTGACTTAGCAGCCAGCTGCTCCAGTGCCTCAGATGCTTTTTTAGGGTTTTCTTATGCACCGACTGATGAGGACTTTCAGGTTTTTAAATAGGACTTGGGAAACCTAATTTTAATTTATGGTCTTGTTTTTAAAAGTGGCACTGTCCTCTGCTCATGACTGTTAAAGAAATTTGGACTAGCACACTAACTGGAATGGACCTGAACTCTTTCACTGTGATGCACAATGCTTTTTCCTTCCTCTGGCAGGGAGGCTGCTGATCGTCCTAGTTAGAGATTTTACTCCTACAGAATTGAAGTTAACTCCATGGTCTTATTTATGTTTAGAAGCTTGGTGCCATCATTCATGCCAAAACCACACCACAAGTCACTTACCCAATAACAACTGGCCTACTTATTTTGGAAGTGTCGTGTAACTGTGCTTCATACACGTAGCTAGTCTGTCTCCTCCCTCTTGTCTGATTGCTCTATCAATGGTGAGGAGGAAATCTGTTCACACTACGGGTATGTCTACACTAGAAATGCTACAGTGGCACAGCTGGAGCGCTGTAGTTACATCACTGTAGAGTAGTCACAGCAATGGAAGGAGTTCTTCTGTTGCTGTAGTAAATCCACATCTCTGAGGGGCAGGAGCTAGGTCAATGGAAGATGTCTTCCCTTGACCTAGGGCTGTCTACACTGGGGCTTAGGTCGACAGACTTAACTACGTCTCTCAGGGGTAGGAAAAATTCACACCCCTGAGTGACATCGCTAGGTCAACCTAAGGTTTAGGTGTAGACCAGGCCTGTCCTTATGCTGTGACGAGTCACTGTGATGGGAAGATGGCATTGGATTCTTTACTTAAATATACACATCAAGCAAAACTCCCTGAACTTTCCTCAGTAACATCTGTTAACAGCAAGCCAAAGGGTAACTGACTGATACTAATGTGTGTTTAGTAATATCTTCCCTCCCTTCTTTTAAAGGAAGGGCAAGATCCTTAGCTGGTGTAAATCAGCATAGCTCTGCTGACTACAGTGGAGCTACAGTAATTTACACCAGCTAAGGATCTGGTTTGGAGTCTTTTTGATGTAGCCACTTCAGTCAAGCTATCACTTGACAAGTTAGTGCATAATCTGAGTGTTGGACTAAACTACATTCCACTCTTCCAGATTGGGAGCTCTGCACCCTAGGAATGAGAGGTGGTTTCCCACCAGCATTAGGAAGAATTCAGATCTCCCAAGTATGAAAGTGCTCCAAATCCTATGTGTACTAGTACCTATTGAATACCCCATGGGCAACTACCAATCTGAGTGCCCAGATGATGTAGGTGGGAGTTTTTTTTTAAAAAGGCTCCCAAATTTAAATGGAACCTGATGTTCTTCTGAATGTGTGTGTGTGTTAAAGGCTAATTTATTCATTCTGCCTTAATTTAAATGCTGGTGTCTGGGTTGTTTTGTTTTTTTAAACATTATTCATTATTCTGTCTCTGTGGGGAGGAGACAGGGGAATAAGGTCTGATAGTGTTATAAGAATCTCCTCTACTGGTCCACACATGGACAATGTTTGCATAAAAAACCTGGATTTCTAAAGACTGGTCCAAATGAGCACCTTGTCTTCTGCTCTAGAAGCTCTGTTGACATGCTGGAGCACTTGTGATACTTGCATTGAAAAGAGAACGGAAACTTTTTTTTTTATCTTGCCCAATTTTACCATTATTGTACATATTGAAGATCTTAATAAAAGAAGTCCTATTTTAAAGTGAATGCTCTCTAACTTATCACCTCCACAGTTTGTCTGCAATTCTGGGGGAGGGGGCGGGGAGGAAAAACACAGGGTTTTCAGTGAGCTATCTAGCTGTCCATTTGCTGGAGATCAACTCTTGTGCCCCCCCCCCCCAATTGTGTGACCAACTTAAAACTCTCACCCTTGCAGCTGTGGCTCGGAGACTATCACCGCCTAGTGATGGCTTACTACAGCCCCCCCAACAAAGAGGGGGGAATGGACAGCACCTGCACGCCGAGTGAGAAGGGCATTATCTGGCTAATCGCCTGGGGTGGGAGCCCATCCTGCACTGGCCCGGTGCCCGCTCCCGAGCCCTCCACTCCAGCACCCCCAGCCCGGCGAGTAGGGTGCCGGTAGCAGCGCTGCATGCAGCAGCTGTCGTTCACAGCGGGTGAAGGAGCCACGCCGCTCCGTGGGTACCAGGAGCTACCGGGTCCTCGGCAGAGAATGGCACACGCCATCCTCCCATCTACAATGGTCGAGTCCAACTCCACCCCCGTCCCAGGGAATAGTAGGTGCCACTTTCCCGTCCCCTGGAATGGTGGGGGGAGCCGGCGTGATGTCATCACGTGAAGCCTACTTCGGCCGCCGCGTTGGTTGCGAGAGTGTTTTGTTGAATTCGTTCGCTGCGCGTGCGCAGAAGGGCGGTTGCTAGGTAAGGAGCGGGCCTTAGTTACCGCTCCGAGGTCGTCGGCGGCGGGGCGCAGGAAGATGGTGGCAACTCCGCGGGTAAGGCCTGGAAGTTCACTCCTCCCTCCCTCCTGTGTGGGGCCCAGCGGGCTCCTCCTCTCTCGCGTCCCCCTCCTCCCCGGGGCGACGGAGGGTAGGACTGTGAGGGGCACTCAGAGGAGGTGCTGGGAGGCCATGGAGACAGCAGGTCAAGGGGTCCCGCCCCGAAATGCCGCCCCCCACAGAGGCGGCAGAAGGTCCCGCCGCCGAAATACCGCTGCGGTCACCGCCCCCCAAATTGTAGTGCTATAGGCGACCGCGTAGGTCGCCTAATGGGTTGCGCCGGCCCTGTGGTTATTAATTTTACTTATAGAATTCCAACAGCGTGGTAGCTACTTTACAGCAAGTAGACAAGGTCCTTGTCCCAAATAGTTTAGCTCAAGGGTGTCATATTGTTCTTTGAAAAACATAAAAGATTGCATCCGAAGAAGTGGGTTGTAGCCCACGAAAGCTTATGCTCTAATGAATTTGTTAGTCTCTAAGGTGCCACAAGTACTCCTGTTCTTTTTGCGGATACAGACTAACACGGCTGCTACTCTGAAACCTGTCATAAAAGATTGTAGCTCTCATTTTAATGTTATTTTTTTGTGACTTTTTTTTCCCCCAATACAAAATGTTAGTGAATCTAATAAAACTTTTTGATTACATATATTGAGGAAACAAACTGAGAAAGCTTGGGTGCTTCTTGGGATGTTGTCTTTCCTTTTTATTTGCGTAGGGATGTTTCTTGTAGGTTTTAGTTTTATTTCATATTTCGGTCCATATGTTGTTTAAAATTGCAGTAAAGGTTTTAAATAACAACAACAAAGAGATTTTAGGCCTAATTCCTCTAGTTCAGATGTTCCATTCCTGCACCAACACATTCCATGCCAGCCAGCACCTGCATGCATGTGTTCCTTATTCAGAGACTGGTCTGAAATAGTACCTTTTTTGCTCTTCCGTTCTGATTTTGATTAGTTTCCTTTCATTCTTGAGGTCACTATGGAGACAGAGCTTCGGAACACCATAGTCTTCAATGCATCCAAAAAGGAGATTTTCACTGTCAACAGTGGTTACAAGTCCTTACAGAAGAGGCTTCGTAGTAAATGGAAGATACAGAGGTGAGGGATTTTCTTCAACTTTCTTTTTCATGCTTTGTAGCACAAGAGTGAAACTGACATCAACAAGTAATTACATGTAAGCTAATTGGAGATGGAACCATTTTAATGCTGACTTTGGGGGGTAATTCATAATATAGAAATGTTTGGGAATGTTAATAGAAAATTAAAAAGATTATTTCCTTTGGTTCTACCCAGTGACATTAGCTGTAGCTCTGCTGTTGCATGGTGTTGGAGGACTTTTATTTTGAACTTTCAGATACTGTGGCAATGGAGTCAAGTATCAGAGAGGTAGCCGTGTTAATCTGAATCTGTAAAAAGCAACAGAGGGTCCTGTGGCACCTTTAAGACTAACAGAGGTATTGGAGCATAAGCTTTCGTGGGTGAATGCCCACTTCATCAGACACTTGC